AATGCCTATGGCGTGTTGTTCGAATGAGCGATTGGATTTGTAGATTCGCTTGGGTGGGACTGCTGGTTCAAGCTGTCGTCAGCTTGCCCGCAGGATCGTAGTCCATTGCCTGGTGATTGATGTGTCGTTTGCGATCTCTTACGAGCGAGTTTTCGTTTGCCACGAAGATTCGACCTTGATTGATGGTGTGGGCGGATCTCGTCAGCACTAGATACAGCTAAGGGCTCGTTACGAGCTTTCTTCTCGGCAGTATTATCAACCGACCTCTTACTGGAGCGCTGTTTTTTCGCAACTCTTCCGGTCCGCACAGGTTTTTCTGTTTCAGCTTCAACGGCTACTGAACGGCGCTTGCGTCGCGTTATGACTTGTGTGTCTGTGCTCCTCTCAAGCACTGTCGAACCGCGCTTGCTCCGCGTCGAGACTTGTATATCTTCGGCATTTTCAACTACTGTGGGGCCTCCCTGGCTTCCCGCTGGGGGTGCATGGCGATTTTCATCATCAACCGATATATCTCGTGAAGACGATACTGGTGACGCATTACCATCGCTGTCTACATTCGAATCACCACCAAGAAATCTGCTAACACAGCGGGGGAAAACGTAGCGCGGATTTTGCTCGAAATATCCATGCTTTCGATAGTAGTAGATATGGTATACCGCCTTATCCAGAGCCGCGTCTTCCGCTTTTGGATTTAGTTTGTGCATAGAGCCTCGATCGGCCAGAAGCCGGGGCCCAAAGCGTTCGCGGTCGCATGGCTCGCAGCGGCACCATGAGCAGTACTCCATGAATATGTGCGTCTCGTTCCCTTCGCTTGAGGTTGAGCCTTAAGAAATGAAGGGACGGAAAGCGAAAAACAGCCCCCTTCCTCGAGTACCGTGGCAAACAAGAAAAACTGTACTACGACAGACACAATCGCCTATTGGTGATTGGCTAAAAAGTTACAGGTCAAAAATAGCCTCTATGGATATGAGGGAGTCATAGGGTTAAGTTGGTGAATCAATTGTATAATGTAGCCAGAGAATATCTACTCTTAGTAAATGGAAGGTGGACAGCATTTTCAGTCGAGTTCTCGATTCATCCGTTACCAAAAGTCTGGTGGACAATCTCAGCCAAGACACCAATGGACACAATGAAATGCACCAAGGACAACAAGTTCTCCTTGAATACTACGGCATTGGTTTGTTACCTCTATTTTTCAGCCACTATATCACCAGCCGCCATAACATCCGAATCAAATGTGGATATGTAGGGACCACCATTGTCTGCTGGACGTGCACAATTCTTTTTTTCTTCCTATTACGGCATGAAAGCAACAACAAAAAACTAGCAAACGCTAAATGCAAACCAAATAAAGCTTACCTGGCCACTTTCTTTCGTATGGCCACAAAACCAAATCTCTTAGCAGCATTATCTTGTAAATTTTTCTCGTCACTTTCACATTTTCGGTGACCCAGTGTCCCACAACTCGATTTTTGAGGTGCGTTCCACCGGAACACGTTCTATAACTGGCAAAATACTAAGTTTTCGTCAAAATACTTTTTGCCCTTCCCCTAAATCGTGGTTGCGCAATTACTGAACTTGCAGCCTGTAAGAAACATCACTTTTCCTATATATCGCTTGTTAGGCGTAGACCTGTAAGGTAGACCTTCATCTGGTGTTGAGCTGTTCCTTGCAACACTCTTGTGAATATTAAACCATTTCTCATCGATACCAACGACATCGTACAGGTGATCCATCATACACTTCTACACATCTAACATAGAAAAAAAATGTCATACTCCAGTAATTTTGTTTTGAACTATTCATAATATTATTGAAATATGTTTTGTAGTGGCCGCTGCACATGGACAAGGCAGTACTGAAGCCGACGCTGCTTATGATCGGGTGTAAGTGTTGACTTCACGTGCGAAACCCCATGGAAAGCAAACCGATCGTCAGATAACGCCACAACGTCGTCTTGGGGACGTCGGTTGCTTTAGAAAGTGCCTCTAATGTCTAGCGGTCTACTCGAGGAAGATCCGCGACAAGCTGGGCAATCTCGGTCTTGATCCGCTTCTTCGCCTCAGGCTTGTGCGGGTGCACCGAAACGAGGGCTGCTGCATCCATTCGGGGGCGCCAGACCTCCCACACCACTGCCTTGCGAGCTTGAACGCCGCCATGGCACTCTGCACCACACCAACCCTCGTAGCTTGCAGAGGAGCGATCGGGTCCAGAAGGCCTTACTTGAGAGAGGCTTGTCGATTCAGTGGAAAATGAATTAAATGTTTTTTCTAGCTACGTGCACTAGAACTTGCTTCTAAGTAGTTTCCCACTTTCATACTGCTCCTTCATCACTCTAACGTCTGGAGATTCTCCCTTACTGCAAGTCCGAGGATTCTTCTCGCGAGTCTCCTCGTGCACGCTGGCATGTCAGCGGCAAGGTCAACAAAGAAGAGAGCCACGGAGACTTTTTTGTCAGGTGTTAGCTTCTTGAATCCTGGTGTTAGAAGCATGGTTGGAGGGTGGGGTCTCTGCTCGGTACTTAGTAATCTGAGAGTGATATTAGACACTAATTCCCTAGGTTTTAAATACGGAGAAGTAAATTAATAACTGTCAACACGTGTGATGCATTTGGTGAGTTGTGTATGTGTAAATCAATTAAGCTTGCATTCCATCGTTTAATGAGCATGCCCTACTCCGTGTAGAACCGACTACTCCGGAGCAAAGCTCAATTTCGGTTCGAATAGAGAGATGGACACACACGCATCCCAAGTCTTTTGCTGAGCAAAACTGGCACTTGTACAGTAAATTTTAAGTTACGGGGCGTGTTATTAGTATGTTGTGTCCAGCGAAAATGAAGACACGGTTGGGGGAGCCGGCGGAGCTCCCTGGAAGTATTGCCTAGTGTATTGGCAGGTAAATAGCAAAGTGTCTGTTCTTATAGCTACTGGTAGTATAGGTGGCGATGGGCATGACAATCCAGTGAAGAGTTCTACGGGTGCTCGGTTGCCGAGCGAAGGTAGTGCAGTGTGGTTCAAGCTGGCTTGAACCAAAGGTAGATATCCCTAGTCTTTTATTGAGACTTTGTATTTTTAGGGTGATCACCCGTAGCGGTTGGAGGATGTCGCGGTTGACGCGCTCCACTGACCCGTTAATCCAGGGGGCAGTATGCTAGAGTAAACTTTTGTTGACTCTTCAGTCGTTTTGAAAGCTCAGCTACCACTTCGTTCTTGAATTGGCTGCCGTTGTTACTCGCCCACACTGGTAGAGCTCCAAACCGGCTGTGCCAGTCGAGGATGGCAGCGGTGGCAACGGCACTGTCCGCTGCATCGCACACTACGAGCTCACAGAAGTGAGCCGCGTGGTCCTTGAGGGCGAGCAAGTACTTGCTCTCTCCGGACGATTCGCCAAGTGATAGGAAATCCCAATGCAAGACTCCATTTCTTTCATTGCACTCGATAGTTTCACTCCACGGCCGACGTATCATTTTACCGCCCTTCACATGAGGACACAATAGGCACGTCGACACAAATGTGTGTACGACGCCCCGAATGTCGGGGATATGAAACAGTCGACGCAGGTGGTTCACCATCGCCTGTTCACCACGGTGGCCTTGAGCTCCGCAGTGGGCGATCACACACAGCCGCCGGGTGCCTTTGGGATCCAGATTCTCTTATTTACCCTCAGCACGCCGTCTGCACCTCGTACTGCGCCTAACTTTTGTAGGTAACTGTCAGTGTCGTCGGCAAAGAGTAGAAGATCATCGATCCAGATAATAAGAGACGCGTACAGCAGCGAATCAAAGCAATGCTCCATGGTCTGCTGAAAATGAACAGCGTCACATCACCCTTGTGGCACTCGACGTGGAGTATATATTTTGGAATCACTGATGTACGACATCAACTCTTGCCTGAGCTCCTCTAGAGGTAGTTGCCAAAATTCTTTTAGGAGATCGAACAATCCGTACTGTTATTTTTTTTTACCTTTGGTGTACTCCAATAGCGTGCTCATGTGAGGCATGGTGCTGATAAGAGCCTCCACAATGTCGTTCACCAAGCGGTAGTCACAGGTTTGTCTGTAATCGTCATCAGTCGTGCCTGGTTTGCAGCACCGGGCTGGCCCAGCGACTCGTGGGTTCTCATAAATCCACCCGAGATCACCAGTTTTTGGTTGAATTCTTGGAGAAACGCACGAACAGCAGGAGGATAGCGACGTAGTTGCACTTCACAGAGCTCGCATCTTCCTTCAGGCGGGTATTCAGCGGTTTGACGCGTGCCGGAGGGTCCTTGCCCAATTCGATCCTCCCAATGTCGTGTTTTAGAGCAATGGCGCGGAGCTGTTGCTCAGATTCTTTGGGAAACCGTGCTCTAATGCCTTTTGCACTAGCTGCTCAACAGCTTCCTTCAAATTGACATCCGTCAGAGCTGACGTAGAGATAGGTGCACTGTCATTGTCGGATAAACAGGCGTCGTCATCTCTCTCACGCTCAGCTAGCTGCTCCAACTGCCGGTTGATGTCGATACCGAGCGTCTTCAACAGGTCTTGGCCCAAAATAAATTCGGGTCTCCATTACTAATCACCAAACACTCCACCAGCTCGTGGATTGCAACTGGACCGGCGGCCGTGCTCAGCAACACGCGCAGGTTCATTGAAGCTCGGCACGTGATCACGTGACGGGGCAAATTACCATGGGTGTGGTCAGCAGGGTAAACTTAACGGTTGGATCACGAAGCATGAGCTGTTTGACATGCTCTTGGTTGATTGCCGTTCGTTCGGCACCGGTGTCAGCGCTATACGGCAATTCCATCATTTCGTTTAAAGTAGCAGTCTTTTCTTCGTTGGGGATACATTCGGGAAGACGTTTGAGGCGTGCCACCTCCCTTTTCGATTTTTCACCACGTTGGGCCCGCAATCTCTTACGAATCTCTGTTTTTCGCTGTGCGTAGCCGTGGGGCATTCAGACCGCCATTATACATCGCTGCAGTGAGGGCACGGGGATCAGCGGCACTTTCGGGTGGTCAGTGATGGACTTGGTAGGTGGCTGTGAGCCAATACTACTCGTCGCATCCGCCAGCCTCGGTTTCTTGACAGGTTTCTTGCTGCCTGTACACACGGACGCAAGATTAGGCTCGCGATCTCCACGGCCGCGATCGCGCTTGGCGCGTCGTTGGCTTTGAAAAGCCTTCTCATGGTCGAGTGCCTTCTCAGGAATCAAGTCGTGCAGTACGACTTCGTCCTCTCGTGCCTTGCGCACTTGGAAGCGCGCCGTCCGGTCCACCTCCTCTCTCAGGGCTTTGGGCTCCAGCGACTTGATCAGAATAGAGCATAACTGCTTCGTTCCATCAAGTCCTGTGAAGAAAGTGCGCCATTCGTGATCATCAAATATTTCGCGACAGAGTTTTAAATATTGGATCACTCGCTCATGAGCATCACTTCCACTAAAGTCCATGCGCAGGTTTTCGGCCATTTCTTGGTCAATATCAGACACACTGTTGATTTTCACTGAAGAAATGATTTTCTCAATTTCCTCCATTTGATGGTGTCAGTGACGTCGTCGATGGATACCTTCCATTGGAGACGGCACCACTCCCGAAGAAGTCCTTCGTCAAAGGTGTTCTTGATCGGGACGATCAAATCATCCGTATCGCCCTTGGCGCGATTGCAGATGGTGTCCTCGTATTCCCAACGTTCCTTACGCCACTTCACCAACGCCGCATGGGATGTCTTGGTGATTCGCGGGGGAAGGATAGGCGCGAAGATGGGAGTTGGCCCTTGTTCAGCCTCACCGTCAGGTAAGGTCGAGCTCTGAGCTCTGGTCTTGGTCATGTCTTGATTAAGCAGGAAATCTGCTAAAGAATTCTTTGTAGTGTCCAGCGGAAATGAAGACACGGTTGGGGGAGCCGGCGGAGCTCCCTGGAAGTATTGCCTAGTGTATTTGCAGGCAAATAGCAAAGTGTCTGTTCTTATAGCTACTGGTAGTCTAGGTGGCGCTGTAGCTGCTGGCTCCGATGATTGGACGCCAGATCTGTCAACACGGGACACGTAGTAGTGTATCCGGTCATCATGTATGTCGATTACGCTGCATACAACATTGTCGAGCTTCTGTAGCTCGTTAACGATGTGCTGCTTTAACTGAACCTTGTTGGTGGAGCTGGCTGGTAAATGTCTGCATGCGTAGCATGTACTACATGTTGCCGCCTTATAACTTGGTGCGTACATATACATATACTTCGGAGGCATATGGTAGTGGGTAGGTCAGGAGATTAGGAAAGTTGTAAAAATTTCGTGCTTCACCATCATAGGGTACTCCAGATTCGTGGTGCTGTGGCAGTCTCTTCGAACGAAAGTTGTCGCTGCCTCCCGTAACGAAGCCGTGACGGGGAAGTATTAAATCAATCTCCGTAAAAGCATCTAGTTAGTTCATTTCCTACAGAATCCTGATATTCAAGTCTTGCATGCAGTATGTATTGAGTGTCACTAAAGACTGTGCCTTTTCGATCTTTGTCCATGCTTTAGGGGCTGCCCTTTTACATGTAATTATGACCGCAATAAACATTCTGGTATAATAAGTATTTGCAGTCGGTAAAAGGTCTAACCGGTTTAACCGGTTGTTCAGAGATCCTCCATTTATGTTGAATTAGCTATAGAGTCCTGCAGATTCTGTAGGCTACGCCTAATAGAAACGTTGCCATCTCAGTCGGAAAAAAGTCTACTTGTTGGCTGAACTTTTTTGCAGTTTCGAGTTAGCTGTGGGTGCAATAAAACATTCCGATAACTATTGTAGTCGTGAAAAATCTACAGACCACCATTTGCAGTTACTTTCGGTTTAAACCATTTTTAAAGTATATGGACAAAAAATGGGCGACATCTGCTTAGAAGCACTGAACTAACTTCCTTTTCATCTGCATATGCAAGACAAAAACACTAGAAGAAGTCAAGTAGTGTTGTTGAATTTGTCCGGACTGTGAAAATTCTTTTCTTCTGTTACTTATAACTCCAACCCAAACTACTTCCACTGAGGATAGTAATATGACCTTCAACGGCTTTCAACCGGTAGCTGAAACGACAACACAAATGAATGGCTCTAAAGGGTTAACCCGTGAACGAGTCGACTGTCCTCTCTGTCGACACATAAGAAAATAACTGTCCAGACTGCGATGGGTGCAGCAAAGAAAACAAGTGGCCAAGCTTTTAGGCTTTCTCTCTCACTTTCAAAATTGCGCGCAACCGAAGACTCTCTCCCCAGCCGACAGCGATGAAGACCTTGCTCCTACTACTGCTAGCGTGCACCCTCACACCCAGCGCCGTGTTCGGCCATGGTTACATCGTCAACCCTGAAATGACGTGGGTGGTCAATCCGTTCTATGACAAAAATGCCCCTGCCGCATTCTACGACGCCAGCTCCACGTTCGGCCAGAACCCCCTCGACATTTATCCCAATCTTAGGCACATCGTCGCCCAGGACACTCCGTACACGAACATCCCTCTGATCGCGGCGAACGCGAACAAGAATTGCGGCATGACGAGCACGACTGGCCCAACACGCACGATTTCCGGGTATCTTAAGTTCGATGTGGATCCTTCAGCACTTCACGAGGTACATGATGTATCTTTCACTAGCCCCTCCTTCGAAAAACTAACGGTTGTTGTTACAGGGTCCATGCGAAGTTTGGGTAGACGACGTCCGAACGATGGTGGCGAGGTCATGCAAGAGTAAGTGCTTAAGTATACATTTTTTTTGACGGTTTGAAAATACGATACATGACATCTTAATGTACCAATTGCAGCAACGTATACCGGGAGGCCCTGGAACATTCCTGTTGATATGACGAAGTGTACAGGCAGCACGTGCGTCGTTCAGTTCATCTGGATTGGCACTCATAACCCAACCTACGAAGTCTTTAGTAAGTTTTCACGTTACACGCTTACTCAACGGGAAATCGTTCTAATCATTGACACACTTACGCAGAAAACTGTTTCCCGGTTGCATCTGGAACGACCACTAGCCAAGCCCCAAGTACTCAAGCGCCGACTACCCAAGCACCGGCAACACAAGCTCCAACTACCTCACCAACGTCATGTACCAACGTCGCTCAGAATGGTGGTACATGTGGTGCTTCAAACGGTAACAAATACTGCCCCGGTACGCAATGTTGTAGCCAGTATGGTTACTGTGGCGTCGGCACTGCGTGGTGTAGCTCAAACCCGAACTCAATTTACAACGGTAACGGTAAATGCTCAGGGGGTGGTACGGTGGCCTGTTCTCCGGTGGCCCCCTACGGAGGCAGTTGTGGCGCCAGCAATGGAGGCGTGTACTGTCCGGGCTCCCAGTGCTGTAGCCAATATGGCTACTGTGGAGTGGGGTCACCATGGTGCGACAACAACCCCAACTCCATCTACAACGGAGGAAACTGCGCCTAGTGCTTTTCGTGTGCTGCAGAAGTACAGTCAACTATCCAAGCATCGTACAAGTTTGCATCTACAAATTACGTTTTTTTAACTGGGTCCACAAAAAGGTTTTAAGTTTTTTTTTTTAACTTACGCATAGGTTTAATGAGCATGCTGCAAAACGATACCGCGAAGTTGATGCACCCTTGAGAAGACGTATTTATATGGCAATTGTGTAATGAGACCAATATATGGCTTAATTAACTAATTAAGCCATACGTTGGTCTCATAAAACAACGCATCGTTCTAAAACTTTACGGACATGGACAAGTTGTCCAGGACAGTGCTCGGTTATAATTATTGCACAGAAAATGTAGCCAACTTAAAAAAGACATCGATTGGCTGAAAAATGCCGTGTTCGTAACGGTTTTCCCAGTTGCTGCAGCACCGCTGAGACTTCAGACATGCATGGAGCGGATGAGAGCACAATGACCGGTACTGTACATGGTACCAACTTGCTTAATAGTCAAGGTGAAGCGGTGAATCTAGTAGCTTTGACCCATGCTCTGGATGGCGGACAAGTGGACGTGGCGGTGCATTGGTTGCAGCTTCTGCTGCTCTCGCGGACAGGAGACCAGTCGAAAAAGCACAACAAAACTTTGAAAAGCTCGAGGCTTCGAAGACTGAAAACGCTTCAGAGCGCAGTAGTGCAGATGCTCGACGACTATGGCAAATACAAAGAAGAGGAAGGGCTGACGCTACGTCCTGGATTGGCGGTGAGGACTGGAGAAAGGTGCAGCGAATTGTCGTATTCGCAGCTGCAGATGTTCGCACTACAACAAATGCAGCCATCCAGTACCGCATATAATGTGGTGCGAGCTTTGCTATTCAGGGATTTGTCTTTGGATTTAACCGCGTTGGAGAGCACTTGTGACGCGCTGATGACCAAGCACGAAGCGCTTCGCTCTTGCTTTGATGTTGACACGAATGCTGGAGGACAACCGAAGCAATTCGTGCATCCATTGGCGCGTTTCCGAGACGAATTGGGCGTCGTTAGAATCGTTCAGACCGAGTTTTTGGAGTCGAGCTGTAGTGAAAATATTTTGCAAGATGTGGAAGTTGCCACATTTGTGGCAAAGACTATCGACGAACCGTTCGATTTGGCACGACAGGCACCAATTCGAGTGTTCGTATTTACTAGTTTGGACCAGAAACCGACTTCGCCTTGGATCCTCGCTGTAATTCTGCATCACATCGTGACGGACGCGGCCTCCAGTCAGCTGTTTTGGACAGATTTTCACGACTTTTACGCACGTTTCCAACACAATCCGGACCATAATACGATACAAGAATTTGTAAGACACCTTGAGACCAAGGCATCTAGTGCCGCACACTTGACTTACCGAGATTTTGCAGTGTGGCAGCGTTCGCGAATGCGATCCGGTATAACTGCGCCGTTGTTACAGTATTGGACACAACAACTTACCGAAGGTGGCGTGCCTCCAGTACTGGAGCTTCCGTTTGACAACGCAATAGACGATCGAGAACCGATTGTACCAGTAGCGAATACAGCTAAAGGTGACGTTGTGGTATTCAGATCATCACCCGCTTTGCAAAAAGCATTCTCGGATCTCTGTCATTCTCAGAGTTCAAGTATCTTCATGGGTCTCCTCGCAGTGTTCTACATGCTGATTGAACGTTTATCCGGTCAGCAAGACTTTGTGATCGGTGCTCCTTCCTCGGGACGAGACTGCGCTGAACTTCAAGACATCATGGGGTACTTTGTCAACACTCTACCGTTGCGTCTTGGGTCTAAAATTTCAGGAGATGATGATTTTACAAGTTTCTTGAAAAATGTTCGCAAAGTTGTGCTGGGTGCCTACAACAACATGGAGATTCCTTTTCACAAGGTACTAGAGCACTTACGCGCCTTATCTCACAACAACAGCGACGTTGAACGACGATGGCAACACCCACTTTTCCAGATTATGTTCTCATGGGAGCAAAGTGACGATGGCCTGAGTAAAGATTATACAGAGCTGAAATTACCACATCAATCTGCCAAATTCGATCTCATGTTATCCATGAGATATCGTCACCTTAACGGGGGTACAGAGCGCGTATTGGAGGGTTCGTTAGAGTACTCCACCGCTCGATTTTCACGGTCAACTGTGGAGCGATTCTCGAGGTATTATCTGAAATTATTGGAGCATGTGACGAACTCACCGACTACTTTAGTGAGATCTCCAGTCATTTCCATGCTCTCCGATGCCGAGCGGGAGCAGCTTGTCTCTGTGCGGGGCATGCCAAGCCCTCCAACGTTACTTAGACCGACGTCGGATTTTCTAGACGAATGTTTGTTTACTCAAGTGTGGCAAACTCCGGATTATCCAGCACTTCACTTTGAAGGAGCGCAGTGGACATACCAGGACTTGTGGGAATACAGTTGTCGCGTCACTAGAGCATTGAGTATGTTGGAGATCTCTGGTTACTCCGCTGAGCTTCATATCGGTCTGCTGCTTGACCGAGGACTGGAAAATGTTGCAGCAATCATTGGAATATTGCGTTTGCAAGCGGTTTTTGTGCCGCTTGACCCAGAGTTTCCTCGCGAGCGGCTGCGTTACATGGCTCGTGATAGCGAACTTCAAGTGATCATTACACAGCGGAAACACCAAGAAATTGCATCGTATTTATCGTCAAGAAACGCTGAGGACGAACATCAACCAAGAGTATTATACTACGAAGATGTAGATCTTCTAGCCTCACATGACAATGGATATGCACGGGACGATGATGTTAACAGCGAAACGAGGCTACTGAAGCGACAGAAACGAGATTCACGGGACCCAGCTACAGCAACCGCATACATCCTCTACACCTCTGGAGTACGGGATATTTTATTATTATTGTGACGCTATTCGTTTTTACTAACCAAAATTATTTTTCCTTAGTCGACAGGTAACCCGAAGGGTGTTGTGGTACCTCACGCTGCTTTGATGACGACTCTGTGGTGGACTGTACGTACGTACCAAGTGACATCAAGTGACGTTTTCCTTCAAAGCACATCGACGACATTGGATGGTTCACTCTCTCAGCTTTTCGCGCCTTTGCTCGTTGGAGGGAGCGCTCGAATCACTCGTCCAAAAGGTCTACACGAACTGTACTACATGCGTAATGTGCTGCTGGAAGCTCCCCATATCACGTTTTGTGTATTTGTTCCGTCATATTTCGCTCTGATCGTGGACTATTTGAGTGAACAAGGCGAGACTTTTCCAGCTTCCGTCAAGCACGTTATACTGGCGGGTGAAGCTTTTCCGATTGAACTCGCACGTCAATTCTACAAGAAACATCCAGCCAGTACTACGTGTCTTGTCAATGAATACGGACCCACCGAGGCGTCAATAACATCGACAGCTTTTCGTATACCTCGAGAACTGGCGATGCAGAACGATTCCAGTATTTTTCAAGGGCTTCATAGTGTACCCATCGGAAAACCGATAGATGGTCATCCAGTGGTTGTACTGGATACCCAAAGAAGACTCGTTCCAGTGAACGTTCCCGGTGAGTTATACGTTGGTGGAACAGGCGTTGCGTGTGGCTATTGGCGTCGCCCAGAACTCACTGAAAACTCGTTCATCCTTCACGAAAATGTTGTGGAAATCGCGTCGCTAGGTCAGAAACGAGGAAGGTGGTATAAAACTGGAGATTTGGTGAAATGGCTACCTAGTGGCGACTTGGTATTTCTTGGACGTACAGATGCACAAGTTAAGCTTCACGGGATGCGTATCGAGTTACAAGAAGTACGTAATGTTCTGTTGCGTCACCCAAGTATAAAATCTGCCGAGGTGCTTTCAGCTCCTCAGTTGAACTCTCCCGGTCAGAAACAGCAACAAATGTCGTCGACTCTCGTAGCGTTCGTCATGCCAGCTGACAACATCAACGATATATCAATTGGAGACGGTGATTTAACCGAGTTACGCGCGTATCTTGGTGAGCATCTCCCCCTTCACATGGTGCCTCAATCGATTCAAGTTGTGAGTAGTTGGCCACGAACACCAAATGGAAAAATCGATCTCAGAGCGTTGGCTAGTTGCGCTGGCTCAAACTCGACAGATGCTCCGTCCAGTGCTCGGGAATCCAACAATGGGGCAAAAATCACAGTACAGTTAGCTATGGATATTCTACGGCAAGTTTGGATACAAGCTCTTAATCTCGAGCACCTTGATGATGACGAAGATATGGATGGCAATCAACTCGAAGCGAACTTAACGTCCAAGTCGTTCTTCGAACTGGGTGGTGATTCATTGGCAGCTATCCGAGCGATTGCTCTTGCACAAGCTCGAGGACTGTCACTAGCCCTTGAGCAGTTCTTCCGCACATCGTCGTTGCCTGAGATGGCTCGAAGTGCAGCAACTTCTATGGTGGATTTACATAAGTGGACGTCCGAGACGCTAGTGTCTCTTAACTGGCCCACGACGAAGAATACGCGCACGCTTTTCCTGTTCCATGACGCCGATGGAACTGTCTGGAAACTGTTGGAATTGGCACGACAATTGCCATTCGCAGTCGTCGGAGTTCAAGCTACCAACTCGAATTTTTCCAGCGTTGACGAACTCGCTGAATTCTACTGGAAAAGTATCCTTGGGCATCAAAAAAAGGGTCCGTATGCTCTCGGGGGCTTCTCATTTGGTTGTCGTGTAGCCCACGAAGTAGCACGATTGGCAGTGAGTGAAGGCCACAAACTTTTGCCTCTCATTCTGCTGGACGGACTGCCATTCGAGATGTCAGTCTCCAAGCACGATACTATGGAGGAAAAGGCTGCGACTCGACTTCGGATTGAACAGTACGTGAGTGAAGCTTTCGGTGACGTGCTGCTACGTCCATTAGGGAAAAATTATCGCAAGTTCTGCGCTATGGAAGAGAAATATCAGCCGTATACAGCGGCTGAAGTGGAGACTGCATGTTCCGGTTCACAGCCACCAGTGTGGCTCCAAGCGGAACTGTACATAACGCAGCGGTGGAGCATCGACTTCTCGCAGTATCGAGCACTTGGTATTGACATCGCAACAGTGGCCACGATTCCCGACTGCACGCATCTAACGATGCTACGCCACCCCAATGTAGACGTGATAGCGAGAAAGATACGCCAACGCATCACTAATTTCTCTGGAATTCATTTCAGAGACCAGGACTCTGCAGCATCTAGTAAGCACAAATAGAGGATCTCCTTAACCACTGCCGAGGTTTATTTCAGAGTACAACTTTGTTCAAAGCTAGAGATGTACAGTCTTTTGAAGCTGGAGGAATTGTCGGATTGAGTTGGTTGCATAATCTTCATTACTCTTGAATTTCCTACGAGTTCATGAGCGATCAAAGGGACTCACGATACTTAACATTGGCTGGGATGGCATTCAGACGAAAAAAAAAACAAAGAATGTAATGGGTTGTTTTCGTCTGAATGCCATCCCGGCCAATGGTTTAGTCAATTCTTGGGTTTTTTTCGTCTGAATGGCATCCAACGGGCAAAGCGACATTTTCAACGAAAGTTCTACAAGTTCGTTGTCGTTGAGTACTAAGAGTTCTGCTTCTTGCTGATTGGCGGGGATGGCATTCAGACGGAAAAAAACCCATTAAAATTTTATGGGTTTTTTCGTCTGAATGCCATCCAACGGGCAAAGCGACATTAAGGCGTACTCAAGCCCCAAAGTATGCTACTACAAAC